CTTGTGTGAGAGGATGCACAAGCAGAAGTGCACGCACACCCCGACGCACCTACAAAGACCTATCCATGCATTTGGGTGTATGTCCCACACGCGCGCACCCACAAATCCATGCCCGCGTTTTTTTGGTGCGTAAATTTCTCACACACAAATACCCACACACACATACCCACGTTTTCGTATTGTGCGTACGCCCCAGACCCACACGCACCTACCAGGACCTATTCACGCATTCTTGTACATGTCTCACTCACACGCAAGCACCCACAAATACGTACCCAGCGCAGTGATGATGCTCTCCGCGCATTCCGGCCCGTACGTCTTGTCCGCCATGCGGCAGCGCTTCTTGAAGTCCGTCACATAGTCCCACCACAGCCACGACCCGTGCGTCTCGTTCGCCACGCGGTGCACGCACAGCTGCCTCAGATTCTCCGCCACCACGTCCTTCCCATCATACCCCACGTCGAAATCCTCCTCGGGATCCGGCGCGCAGTACCTCCCGGCGTTAATACACTGCGTCTTGCACTGCCGGCTTTCCAAATACGCCTCCGGGCAGTACCAGGTGATGTAGTGCGGCGTGAACAGCGTGTACCCGCCCTGCTCTAACATTATCGCGTAGCCCTTAAACGCGTCCAGAAACTCCGCCTGGGAGTCGCACTTCGGCCCGCACTCGTCGTTGCTGTTGGTCCAGAATTCATACTCGACACGCTCGTCCGGATGCGGCAGCGCTTCCCGCCAGTCCAACGAAACCATCACCGGACCGCTCTTGAGCCCCTTTTTAATCAGATCCGCCGTCGATTTCTGAACCAGCGCCGACGGAATCGTGATCTTGTCGACCATGCGCGCCGCGTCGGGATCGTCCTCGGGAGTGTCCATTGTAAGGAGATTCTCGTCCTTGTCGTCCGCGACGATCACGGCGGATGCCCCGGCCTCCTGCGCGTTGAACACCTTGTCCGTGAAATAGCAACCTGGAGTGACAGGAGGGACGCACAGGGTAGGGGTAGTACGGGAGAGGCGCATAGGGATGGTGGCGTTGAACGACCTCGGGAGTGTCCACGTTGAGGAGGTTTTCGTCCTTGTTGTCCGCGACGATCACGGCGGACGCGCCGCCTCCTGCGCGTTGAACACCTTGTCCGTGAACTAACAACCTGGATTTGGGGCATAGTGTGACAGGATCTAACGTAGGATACTACGTGAGAGGCAAATAGGGATACTATATTAGCGTTGAACGGCCTCGGGAGTCTCCATGTTGAGGAGGTTCTCGTCCTTGTCGTCCGCGCCGATCACGGCGGACGGCCGCACCGGCAGGCATCCTGCGCGCTAAGGACCTTCCAGTGAAGTCGAGACCTGGTGTCGCGGCATGGTTTTGAGGGATAAGGAGACGTGGGAGACACGTAAGCAATGGAAATTCGCCATAAACACATCCTTATTGTAAGGTAGCAGCCTGACGTGAATACTTTTTTTTTGGAATAGGGTAACGTGAGCGACACGTAAAGAACGAATATTCGTCCTAAAGGTCCTCCGGAGTGTCATATGGTGAGCGAATTCTCGTCCTTATCGTTCGCATCCATCACGGCGGACATTCCAGCTATTTCAAGATTGTAACACCTAAAAGGTGAAGTAGAGCCTAAATTCGAGAAGAATGTGACGGGAGACAAGTACAACGCATCACTCTCAAAACGTTATGAAAGAAAAATATGGATCGACAAGCATGAAAAGAAAAAAGAAAAAAAAAAGAAAAAAAAAAAAGAAAAAAAAAAGGACGAAATACCAAATCGATGTGCAGCACAGCCGTGAACAAATCTGTAAATTACTCCCAGCAAAGCGGAATTCAAGGTGAAAATATTCCCAAATAGGTCAAATACCAAAAACCAATCGCACCTCCGCGGTCAACGATGACGATATTCGGCATGCCACCGGCCTTCGTCGCAAGGTCGTTCCCCTTGTACGGCTTGCACATGTCGTTCGATTTCGCCGGATACACCACCGAGCCCTGCAGCGAGCCGCCGTACTGCGGGATGCCGAAATTAGCTATGGCGCTGAGGTACTCGCCGCGGATCTTGTCTGGGGAATTGATCATGAGGCTGTGCGACTCGACGACGAAGCGAGCCGACGCAGTTTGGAAACACCATGCGAGAACGAAGGTTAAAGCTACGAGCAACACGCGGCGAGCCATGGTCGCTGTGACCTGATTCAAGATCAGCACGAACGTGCAACTACCGTAACTGAAGGCAAGCAGAAACCGAATTTAACTCTAAACCGAACGTGCTACGCAAGAACCGCGTGATGAAGCTAGACGCAGACAGAAACAAACGCAGGACTGCGCTGCCAGAGCTCGTATGCCAAGTCCCAGCCTCTCTGCTGTGCTCTGCTGGCTAACTGGCACCAGAGCACATATGGGAGGGAAGCGAATCTGACAGAACGGTAGGTTCCTGATCTGGCAACACAACTTCAAGGACCGTACCTAAATGTTTTGAATCTTTTAAAGTCCAGCAAATAAGATTTCGAACCGAATGCAACCGCTATGAACAAGTGAAACTGGAATAAGTTCGGATACACTTGACCTGAAGTTGAGTCAATCACACAGGTGACCACAGGGAACTCCTCGGCGACGACGACTGGAACTTGAATACGTCGTTGACGACATTGGCGATGCGAATAGCTGAGCGGGAACAGAGTGAGGGGGAAGTTGTTCTTGCGACAGGTCGGCGCGGCGAGTGTATGTGGTCGCAGATGACGTCGTCAGCTACAGTACACCCAGCTATCGAAGCTGCGATGGGGAAATGGAGTTCTTCTGGTCGTCCGACTTTCCCGCCTGTGCATGATGATGTCAATCAACTGGTCAAAAGCTGACAGGTGGCTGGAAACCAGTGGTTTGAAGAACGCACGAATTTGGGTTCGGCAAAAATATGATATCTTGCCAGATGGGTTCCGTACGGAAAATGTAGATTGCCGGATTTTTTGGAAATGAATTTCCAGTAATCAGAGGTGCTTAGAAGCGATAAAGGAGCACTGTCAGGAGCCCCCGCTTCATGCACTTGAAACAATCTCTTCGGCGAAGAAGACTCGTGTGTTTGACCTTTCAATTCGTTAAGCGTGCGATTATCGGTAACCCGGCGTCGCTGTCGCAGCCCTCTTGCAAAGCACCCACACATCCACGGATCCAGGCGATCCCAGCAGCATGCATGGTGTGAGTGCCACGCCATGGCGGCTCATTGGGAGTTGCGTGCTTCCAAAACGCAAGCAACCTTTCAGCATGCAGCAAGCAGACTTAGGAGACAACTTCAAGCTCCGCTGTCGGTTCCAAAAATCGCGGTGCCGGAGATTTGTGAAGAATCGTTGCCATGAATATTCACGCGACAGTTTCGTTCATTCAGGCGTGCCAAGAATCTCTCGTGCTTTCAGGCATTACTTCGGAAGACATGTCTTTATATTTCAGCCGGGCACGTATGATTTGAAAACATAGTCATTCAATCGTCAATCATATCTACAACACCAATTTGCAGTGAAACGGGAAAAATGCTGCCTGCAAATCGCCTCGTCTTCTTTATTTTGCGGCCAAGCCGCCAGGTGCGTTTGATTCGAGAGCGCTTTTCACGCTGCATGTGCTGTTTTTAAGGAGCATTGTGTTTCAGTCTCCACGCGACAATTGCAGCTTGTGGTTGATTCACAAGTGTGGACCGTAGGATTTTTTGCAAGATCCGACGCTTTTGATGACACGCATGATGGCATATTGCTTAATGACTAGCAACTTTCTAGTGTGTGCTCCCTCCTCCACGCAGGTACTGGCCGGTAGGCGGCTGTTTGGTGTGGGAATAGGGGAGACTACTGAAGCAGGTACGGAAGCGGAGTTAACTCTAATCACTTCCCTTCGAATTTTCCTCACTTTTGGCCCCCCTCGCTTGCTCTGGCGTTCATGAAATGGTAACTCTGATAGACACAGGATTTCAATCCTTCCCTTTGTGTACGGCCCTGTGTGCCTCCAGGTCACCCTAAGAACCCCAACATGACTCCCAACGAAGATCGCTCTCCAGCCACCACTGACGACCTGACACGTGAAGCAGCTGAGTCAGCAGCACCAACCCCAGGAGGCGGTCCCACCAGCCTGATGGATGCGAGGGGTGAGAAGGAGCAGAAGCACTCCACGCATTTGAGGGCCAAGGGGTTTGCGGTTACAGAGCTGGAGCCTGGAGTGAGCGATGCTGAGGAGAAATTGAAGAGGCGGCCTGGATCTGGCCTAGGAGGAAGCAGGCAGACTGTTACCAGTGAGACTATTTCTGGGATGCCAAATTGATTAGTCTGCTGTCCTTTTCTCTGGGGGTTGTGCCACCAGTCTGATGGATGCGAGGGGTGAGAAGGAGCAGAAACACTCCACGCGTTGGAGGGCCAAGAGGTTTGTGCGGTGACAGCTAGAGCCTGGATTGCTGAGGAGAAATGAAGAGGCGGCCTGGATCTGGCTTGGGAGGAAGCAAGCAGACAGTTACTAGTGAAACAATTACAGGAATGCCATGTTGACCCCTGATTTCCCTTCTCTGGTGATGGGATGGTCCTTCCTGCCCTTGTAATGCCAGGCGATCGTAGGCAGCATTCAGTGTGCAGAGGGGCCTTGGCTATCGCAGTGGTACTTTGTAAATAATGCTCTGTATTTTGCTTGTATGGTACGTCCGCCCAAAATTGTTATTTGGTAGTATTCTGGCCTGATAGGCCAACGGGTTTGCAGTGATTGGATCTGGAGTGAGACGCTGAGGAGAATATGAAGAGGTGGCCTGCATCTGGCTTAGGAGAAAGTAGGCAGACAATTGCTAGCAAGACAATCTATGGAGTGTTAAGTTGAGTTTTCCAAGCTCAACCATCATGCTAAGGGGTGATATACCGATAATCTGTAAACGGATGCTAGCTACCGTGTCTTTGTTGGAGACCTGTACAACGTCCAACTACCTACCGGATATAAAAACCGGTGTGCACACTATGTAAATTGCTGTGGTTAAAATTTTAAAATCAGCTCAGTTACCACCTCCCACTTGTCTCCGCCACGTGTCTTCTATGATCAGCTCGTCTACACCCCAGTCCTCATAGCTGCAGTTGTGCACATAAAAGAGAAAGAAAAAGCGGCGGGGCGGGGGACGGTTGTTTCGGAATACAATTGAGAAAACGGCTGGTCCGCGCCAATCCACAAAGCGAAACAAAAAACAGCAAACAGGGAGTTTTTTAGAATTCTCAGAAACTCCCTGCAGCGTGCAGGTTCTCCAGACACACCTTCCGTCAGGCAGGTATCTGCGAATGGTGAAAGGAATCTTCTTCTCACGTAGCTCACGCATGGCAATCTGTCACAAAATGAGCGCAGCACATATGAGAATAACGAGACGGGGTTAGGGCAGACACTGACACACACATGCCACACACCCACGTGACATGACACGTCATGACAGGCAGTGAACAGAATGCTGTAGCTCCACAAGAGATGCACTGGCATCATTGGAAGCACATCCGAAATTTCATAGCTCGCATGCCATGCCACTCATGCCACTCATGCCACTCATGCCACTCATGCCACTCATGCCACTCATGCCACTCATGCCACTCATGCCACTCATGCCACTCATGCCACTCATGCCCACTCATGGCACTCATGGCACTCAACTAGTACACAGAAAAGAGCGTGTCGTACAGCAGAGGGAACGGTGGACCGGGGAAGAACTCAAAATGGGCAACCATGCAGCAAGGCACATTGTGTGGCTGCAAGCAAGCAAGCCACGTGGCATACCTCAAGAGGGTCGGTCTCTCCATGCAGCTCCACCATCACAGGCGCGTTCATGCTGAAAGGGGCAAGGAATGCAAATGGTCGGGAGTCGGGTGGGGGGGGTTAATCATGAGAGGGATTGAGGTTTCTGCAATTGACACAACTTGTCTCCCCATGCAGCTCCACCATCACAGGCGCGTTCATGCTGATATGGGCAGGGGAATGGGCATGAGGATCGGGGCCCGGGAGGTGGGTGGGCGGGGGGGGGGTCAGGTGGGCGCGGGAGGAGGGGGGGGGGGGTGGATGAGGAGGTCTGCACTTGGTGACCATGACGCCCCACCATCACAGGTGCGTTCGTGTTGAAATGGGCAGGGGGATGGGCATGAGGAGGGGGACCCGGGGGGTGTGCAGGGGGGGGGGGGGGGGCGTTGTGGGAGGTGTTGGGGGGGATCGGCGGAGGAAACGAGGAGCTCTGCACTTGGTGACCATGACGCCCCACCATCACAGGTGCGTTCATGTTAAGACGAGCAAGAAAATGGGCATGGGGGGGCGGGGGGGGGAGGGGGGGGAGAGAAGGGGTGGGGGGGGTTGGGGAGGGGAGAGGCGGAGGACATGAAGTGCTGCGCATTTCGCATGACTTGAGCAAGTAACTCAATCATCAGCAGGTGCGTTCATTCATGCTGGGAACAAGTGCCGCAAGAGAGGGAGGGAGTTGGGTCGATGCTCTCAAGGTCTTGGTCCCTGTGCTTTGCAGGACCCGTAAATCTAGCACCATGCACCATGACCATGCACCATGCACCATGCACCCTGCACCATGCACCCTGCACCCTGCGCCCCGCGCCCTGCGCCCCACACCCCGCACCCTGCACCCTAAACCCCGCACCCTAAACCCCGCACCCTAAACCCCGCACCCTAAACCCCGCACCCTAAACACCGCACCCTAAACCCCGCACCCTAAATCCCGCACCCTAAACCCCGCACCCTAAACCCCGCACCCTAAACCCCGCACCCTAAACTCCGCACCCTAAACCGCGCACCCTGCTACCTGCACCCTGCACCCTGCACCCTGCACCTTGCACCCCGCACCCCACACCCTAAACCCAGCACCCGAACCCCGCACTCTAAACCCCGCAGCCTAAACCCTGCTACCTGCACCCCGCACCCTGCACCTTTTCACCCCGCGCCCCGCACCCCGCACACTGCACTACGCGCCCAGCACCCGAGTGCGCTCGTATTTCGTCATATATCTGGTCGTCTTGCGCAGTTTGTCTGACGCATTCTTCCCCGCTTTCTCTCTGGGAGCCACGAACCAAAGAGACCCGGGAGCAACCCAAACCTCCTTTACGCTCACCTGGTCTGCAGGTCTCGCGCGCCCAGCACTCTGGCGCGCTCGTATTTGGTCATGTATCTGATCGTCTTGCGATGCCTGACTGATGCCCTTCCTCACCTAATCTGCAGGTCACGATTCCTGCCTGAGTCGAATACCCTTCCTCACCTGATCTGGAGAGCTCGCGCACCCAGCACTCTGGCGCGCTCGTATTTCGTCATGTATCTCGTCGTCTTGCGCGGCTTGTCTGATTTCTTTCCCCCTCCCGCGCCGTCGTCATCGCGAATCTCGATCAGGTCGCGCTCGCCCTCCCCCTCCTCGCCGCCTTCCTCCCCGGCCTCCTCCTGAGCAGTTTTTGAGGGGTTAGGTTGGGTAAAACACGGTTGGAAGAGGTTTCCGAAAATCTTTGAACCTCGAACAAGTCGCGCACGCCCTCCCCCTCCTCGCCGCCCTCCTCCCCTGCCTCCTCCTGAACGATGGGGCGATAAAGAGATGGAGCGTTGAAGGGATGGATGGCGCGATAACTGGATGGAACGATAAACGGATGGAGCGATGGAACGAAATAGGGATGGGATGGGAGAGATAGAGGGACGGAACGAACAAGGGATGGAGTGACGGAGCCGTGAGAGACAAGACGGACAGACGGGAACGTGGCGAGAGTGACGACCGGAAGCACGAACGTCTTGTTTTATTTGTTAATCGGCTCTCGAAACACTACTCCTCTTGACGTATCTGAGCGGCCTCAGATAATCGACTGACGAGCTTTGAGACGTCTCAGAGCAACACTATTATCACGTAGCTTTGAGACGGCTCTATCAAAGACGAAGTAGCGGCAACTGACGAGCAATTATCGGTCCCTACGTACCTCTGGTTCGGCCACCTCGGGTTCCTCATAGTCCCTGCCACGTCACACAATAAGGCCACGTCACACAAGAAGGACTACGTCAAGCCACGGCAACCCACGTCAGCAATTGTACGAAAACGAGGGAGTCAAGCAATGGTGACACGTGGAGTATACGCCTCGAAGGAACGATCCCCATAAGATTCTGGTTATTCATGCTAATTGATGGGAGAAAGTGGAAACAAAACAAAGAGACTTCTCATCCAATAAACAGCTTCACCGAAGCAGGTAGGGGTTTAACTAGCTAATCTGTGTTCAAATTGCAAAACCTAGACCTTCGTAGACGAGCTAAACCTTCGAAAATATGTTATTGTGTGAGCCTAGAAGACCCGAATTCGGCGTCTTGCACCTACCCTCCGTAATCTTCGCCGAAATCGTCGCCTCCGCCATAGTCTTCGTCAGCCATGAGTGCAACCTGAAAGAAAGAAAGGAGGATGGCACCTTCAGGCTGTTTAAACAGATTTTTGTATTATTTGTTTTTTACAGAGTCGTCGGCCCATTAGCTCAGTTGGTTAGAGCGTCGTGCTAATAACGCGAAGGTCACAGGTTCGAAACCTGTATGGGCCATTTCTTATGCCTTGTAGGACAATTCCAAGCAAAGTTCTACGAAAACTACTTTTCAGAACCCATGTTTTCCTGCTCCCCACTCCTCTTAATTTTCTCTCGCATTTCAGGCTTTAGCTCCCACCAGCTCTCCATGATTGCGACGCAAGTATGCACTCACGCGATCGTGATCGCGACGCAAGCATGCACTCACGCGATCGTGATCGCGACGCAAGCATGCACTCACGCGATCGTGATCGCGACGCAAGCATGCACTCACGCGATCGTGATCGCGACGCAAGCATGCACTCACGCGATCGTGATCGCGACGCAAGCATGCACTCACGCCGATCCTGATCGCGACGCAAGCATGCACTCACGCCGATCCTGATCGCGACGCAAGCATGCACTCACGCCGATCCTGATCGCGACGCAAGCATGCACTCACGCCGATCCTGATCGCGACGCAAGCATGCACTCACGCCGATCATGATCGCGACGCAAGCATGCACTCACGCCGATCATGATCGCGACGCAAGCATGCACTCACGCCGATCATGATCGCGACGCAAGCATGCACTCACGCCGATCATGATCGCGACGCAAGCATGCACTCACGCCGATCATGATCGCGACGCAAGCATGCACTCACGCCGATCATGGTCGCGACGCAAGCATGCACTCACGCCGATCATGATCGCGACGCAAGCATGCACTCACGCCAATCATAATCGCCCCGCCCTCTCTCTCTCTCTCTCTCTCTCTCTCTCTCTCTCTCTCTCTCTCTCTCTCTCTCTCTCTCTCACACTCACTCACTCACTCTTTCGAACGGTCCTTGCATTAATCAGGGGGGGTGTTACAAGGAAGATGCAAAACACAAGCAAAACAAACAACCAGAGCACAATGCTACCTAACACACCTACTTCTTCCCACTCCCAGCCCTCTCTGTCCGACCCTATTGGCCGAAAGGGGCCTCAATCAGCTGGTGCAGCTGTCCCTCGCTGAGAGGGATGATGGGGCCCTGCATGCCGAGCTCATCCGCTGCCAAGGCCTCGTTGGTCTTGGAGCGGAGGGCATTGGCCTGCGCTCTCTGGAGGCAGACACTCCAGCGCTGGCGATACTCCGTCAGCAGCTTGGCTGCCTCGTATGGGGTAGGTGCTGCGTTGTAACGCAGCTTGGCCGCCAGCTCCGCGCACTGCCGCAGGTAAGCCAGCACCCCCGGGGAGGGGTAGCCGTATGTCTCGACTGCAAGGGCGTGGAAGCCCACCCACGCGTTCCTTCGCGCGTATTTCTCCTCCTTCCTAGCAGCTGCCGCCCTGGCCGCCCACCCTGGAGCCCGACTGCATTCTTCATCCTGGTAGGACACGGGATCAGTCACAGTCACATCGCACAACCACACCTCTCCCATCAGGGGATGGCGGATGGTGACATCCACCTTTAGGTTCTCAACGAGAGAGTAGATGTACGTCTCTTTGTGCACTGTGAAGCCCGCCTCTGCCCCGATGTTTGCAATCTCGTCTCTAAGGGCATGGTGCGTAGCTGTCCTCCCCTTCCCCTTCTCGCAACGCAGGAGGTGGTTGGGGAGGCGGTCATCAGGGAACGTGGTGCGGTACCGGCAGTTGCAGCGCCTATGCACCGGGAGGGGGAGGCCTAGGCGGAAGGCGGCTGCAGTAGAGAGTTGCGAGGGGCCCATCCGGAGCGAGGGGATGAGGGGGATCGCCAGCAGCCAGTCCCCTGCTCCCGGGCCCAGCACTGATTGCATCCGCTGCGCGTGGCCAGAGAGGGGGTTGGGGCGCATCCGCCTCGCCTCCTTCATCATCCGCAGGAAGCGGCGGCCAGGGACTGCTGCAGCTTCAGGCCCTTGGGCTCCGCTCTCCCTGCCTGGAGGGCCTCGAGTGCCTCGGGGGGGAGGGCTGCTTTAGCAGCTGCGAGGCGTGCTGGCAGTGCGTGGGTGGAGCCGTGGGCAGAGTCCAGGAGGGGTAGGAGCTCGGCCACCGCTGGGTGCAGCGAATCAGGCAGGGAGTTCAGGAGGTGGGTCGTGCTAATCACAGACGCGAGGTACGCGTAGCTCCCTTCAACAGCAGGGTCGGTGATGCCAAGCCCACCCAGTGTTATGGGTAGCGCCGCCTGCCGCCAAATCCGCCACCTCCCTCTGTTGCTCCTCGGGGCCATGATGTGAGCCGAGTCCAAGAAGGTAAGTAGTAACTGCTCCCCCCATGCCGACCATTCAGCGTCCGGGAGCACCTCCAGCGGGGTGGTCCTTGCCAGAAAGGTGGCGCGGCGGCTGACGCAGCGGGTAAGGAGGAGGAGGCTGAGTTGGGGGTCCATTAAGGCTAGGAGGGGCAGTGGTTCCGCTGCTGCTGCTAGCCGCTCTCTCACCGCGCTTGCGCAGCCCTGGGGAGTGCTGATGGGGCTGCCAAGGACCTGCAGCCCTTCATTTGAGATAGTAATGCCAGGAGGTGCGGAGGAAGGGTCAACCGCGGAGGCTGACCAGACCGCGCACTTAGATGGGTTGTGAGCTAGGCCCTGGGATGCCAGAGTGGTCGTAAGGTGGTTGAAGGCCGCGGTGCAGGCCGCGGCGTCGCCGAGAAGGGTAATGTCATCGGCGTAGGCGAGCAGGACCACCTGCGGGTGCGCTGCTGCTGTGTCCGTGAGGCAGGGGTGGTCCGAGTGGTCCGTGAGGCAGGGGTGGTCCGTGAGGCAGGGATGCTCGCCGCGAAAAGGAGTGGTCCGAGCGGATCCCCTTGGCGCACTCCTCTGGCGCTCTGCAGTGGGGCTGCGCCAAAGTCGTTGTCGAGGAGTAGCGAAGATGGGATGCCGTACGAGAGGCGAACCAGAGGGATGAGGTCTCCCAGCGCCTCATTCCGTAGTCCCTCGAAAACCGCTCTCCGTTCCACCGCGTTGAAGGCGTTTGCAAGTTCTATTTGCAGCGCCACAGCTTCCGGGTGGACCTCCAGGTACGTGCGAGCTGTGTGGATTGCAGCTTCGATCCCCCCCGCTATCGCCACCCCGAACTGCAGGGGTGCGAAGTGTCCTCGAGCGGCGGGAGCTGTCAGAAAAAGGGCCGCCTTAGCGACTATGCGGAGGAGGCACTCTCCTACCGCTATTGGCCTCGTCCCGCCCTGGGGCTTTGTGAAGGCTAGGAGGCGGGAGGCTGTGAGGAGTTCCGCCGCGTCGTCACTCAGCTTCCCTGCGAGCGCCGTGTTCGTGAGTGCCAACAGGTGAGTGAAAACTTCCTGGTTCCCTAGGGCCGCATCCCTAATGTGCTCAAAGGTGGTGCCTGAGGGGCCCGCTCCAACTCCGTTAGGGAGCTTCCCGATAAGCCGTCTGAAATTGCGGGGCTCTATGGCCGGAGGATTTTCTGTGGAAAAGGCATGCATCCGGTCAGGCAGGGACTGCTGCGCAGGCGGGTGACGAGCAGTGAGTGCCTCCAGCACTTTAGGTGAGGCAGGTGAGACAGGCATGGCTTGGAGGGACTGGAGTGATTTCGACAAATTGCCGCGTTTCGCCAGTCCTTCCGCTCTGGCGAGTATCCCGGTTGTGTCAGGTGCGTGGCGAGGTTGGGGAGGGTGGAAAATTGCTTGGGCGGCTTCTTTGTACAGGCTTGCCCAGAGCCCTTGGCGAAATCTGACGAGGCGTTCCATCATTGCCTTCCAATCTGGCTTTCGAGTTGACGAGGTGCGAAGTAGGATACGCGGGAGAAATGTCAGTAACTTCCAACCTGCTGCGGACTCCGGATTGGCTGCCAGGTGAGCAATGGGGTCAGCATGCAGACTGCAAAGGAGTCGCGATGGTCTTTGGGTGGGTGGCGAGCGAGTGGAGGTTGGCGACTGTCGCGTAGGGGGTCAATATCCCAGTCCGCGACTTGGGTGAAAAGGTCAGCTCGCTTCGCCAGGTCGTCAGGTTTGAGCATTGGCGGGGTGGGATTCTGGACCGCCGGGGTTCCATTGGCTGTTGCAGCGCTGACCCCGTCCAATGTCACGGCTCGGTTTCCCCCCCTTGGCCCAATTCCACCTGCGACCCGATTCCTCCTCCCATTTTTGTTTCCCCCTGTGACTCCATTTTGTGCAGCGGGACCACCCCGCTGGTTGGGTAATTCCGCCCCGTGTTGGAGAAGCTCCTCATCCTCATCAAAATCAGGCTCCAAACTCCCCTCTCTTTCAGGGTTAAAAGCAGGGTCACCCGCTTCACTCTCGTCATTCTCTGCTTCCAAGTCTTCCTCGTCGTTAGCAGCCTCCTCGCCGCCTCCTCCGCCGTCCTGGAGTAGTCTCTCGGCCGTTCTAGCGTAGCCGCTCGCCCCTGTCCGCCGGGCCCTACCTCCACGTCGGCCTCTCCCGCTCCCACGTCGTCCGCGGAGGCCTCCGCCTCGCCCCACCCGTATACCACGTGGTCCCCTTCCTCTGTTCGCTCCTGTGCGACCCGCTTGAAGGGCGGCGGTCCCTTCGTCCTCGTTTTGACGGCGCGCTGGCGTCGGCTGCGGTGGCATCGGGGTGACGGACCCCTCCGCGGGTCGTGATCGAGCGTTGGAGGGTACTGCAGATAGTGCGCAGCAGGGGCTGGAGCCTACCGCTCGTCGTCCGCGTGCCTCTGCGCGCCCCTCCGCAAGTGAGCCCGTCCGCCGCTTCGAGCGCGGGCTACCTCTTCCTCTTCCACCGGTTCCCCAGCCCCCTTCGCCGGAGTACTCGTGGGTTCCTGCTCAGGTTGCCTCGAACCGGCCCGCTGGTCAGCCGCGTCAGGAGCGCGGGCGTTCGCCGCCACGTCAGCAGCCGCGGCAACAATCTCCTTGCCGCCGTTCTCCAGAGTGTCGCGATGATCACCGGGACGGAGCTGGCGATCATCTGTCCCCCGCGGGCCGTCACTCTCCTCGCCACCAATCCCCTCGTGGTCGGGCAGGCCAGCGCTCACCCCGAGCGCGATCCCCCGCGCAACGCTCTCCGCGGCGATCTCCGGCGACGCGGGGGAGGGGCCTGGGCGTCGCTGGGATTCGGGTCGCCGCGAGCAGTCCCCCCCGCGTCCGCACTCGGCTGGTTCCGAAGGCCGAAGGGGCCGGCGGAATGGCGGAGGGCGTGGCAGTAATGGTCGCGGGCAGGATCCTGCCCTCGATCGGGCCACGAATGCGTTTGCGGAAGTGGTGCGGCGGGCGCGGGCGAGTGGGGAGGAGACTCACGTACACATTGCGGTGACCAACGGTCCTCCCCTCGACTTGGACCCTGGTCCGGTGGCTCCTCTGCGCGCGCCGACGCTGCGCGAATATCTGCCCGCGCGGGAGGGGAGGGCCCAGTTTCGCACCCCTCGTCAGGTCCCGGGCTTCTCCGCGCAGTGCTTCTCTGTTGGCCGGACTCCTGGCTGGCCGACGGCGTTTCCGCGCGAAGCTCCAACTACACCTCCCCCCACTCACGCGGGGAGAGACCCCATGCTGACCATGTGCCGGATTCTGAATCTGGCGGAGGCGTGCGAGGTGGTGGCGAACCTGCAACTGGCGGTGTGTGGGGCCACGCGGAACTTTCCGAGCAGTTACGGTCCAGGGTCCCGAGGATCCTGCGTGTATATGGCAGAATCTCTCGAGTCGCCGTTGGCACCCGTGTCAGAAGCGCCCGCCGGGGTAGCGCCCTTAGCGCGTACCTTCCCCCGCCACGTGGGGGACCTTGTTGGAGCTGCTCGAGTCGGGACCCCAGTGGACACATTTCAGTCGTCGGCGCATCTCCTCCTTGCGATGTCGGCGTGCATGCGCTCGATGCTTGAGGTGGAGGGGGCGGAGCCGTACACGATGTAGGCTTCCGCCGCGTGTAGTACTGCATCCCCGTAGCTCTTGTTGTCGCCCTTCTCCCTTGCTTGATTTGTGTGTGTGCTTTCTGTATAAGCCGATCCTTCGCTTGTTGTCTTGCCACCAGGAGCGCGCGGCCGAAGGCCGCGCTTGCGAGCGGCGGTGGCCGAAGGCCGCCGGCGCGAGCCGCTGAAAAATTGAACCCGCACGAAATAATGAGCAAGGAGAGGCACGAGCAGCCCTTAAGTAGGCACGGAGGGCAGAGCGCAGAGGGCTAAGGTTCCTCTCTCTCTCTCTCGCTCGAAGCCGCTGAAAAACCGAACCCACACGAAATAATGAGCAAGGAGAGGCACGAGCAGCCCTTAAGTAGGCACGGAGGGCAGAGGGCAGAGGGGAGAGGCAGAGGGCAGAGGGCTAAGGTTCCTCTCTCTCTCTCTCTCTCTCTCTCTCTCTCTCTCTCTCTCTCTCTCTCTCTCTCTCTCTCTCTCTCTCTCTCTCTCTCTCAAGCGGTCCTTCATTAATGTGTATACAGGGTACAAGCAAGGCATGTGCAAGATCTTAGCAAGCAAACCCTAGGCATGCAAGAGATATTATCTTGGTATCAAGCAAACAGTCTAGGTATTTGGCCGGCTAGCCTGCAACCATGCGACCCCAACTGTGATCAGGCCAAGCCAACACCCTCCTGTAAGGTCTGCCCAATGGCTGATCTCTCTCTCTCTCTCTCTCTCTCTCTCTCTCTCTCTCTCTCTCTCTCTCTCTCTCTCTCTCTCTCTGTGATTGCCCCGCCCTCTCACTTTGGTGTGATCGCCCCGCCCCCCTCTCACTTCTGTATGATCGCCCCGCCCCCTCTTACTTCTGTGTGATCGCCTCGCCCCCTCTTACTTCTGTGTGATCACCCTGCCCCCTCTCACTTCTGTATGATCGCCTTGCCCCCTCTCACTTCTGTATGCTCACAACAATGTCCAAACTTTCTACGACGTTTTCCCCTTCCAAATAAAGCTTTTCCAGCATCTTGTTCGACGCATCTGCCATTGTTATCTCTTTGGTTGGCACTTCATGTCCCCGCACTTCTTTGCGGCTCGGTTCTGCAGCGGCTGCAACACGAAAAGTTCATTGCCCGCTCCTTTGCAATGCCCACTACCCATAACCTGTTACAGTAATGCATACATCTCCCCATACCCCCCCCCCCCTGGTTCTACTTTTGGAAGCGATGCCAACCTCTCAAGCCTGACAGCGCTATCTCACCCGTTCATATACCAAAGAGATACTGTCTATGCACCCTCATGCCTCTCTCAGCCGTTTCTAGATCGTCCGGTTTGCTATGTCACATGGCATTATGTCTTTCCCTTGCTTTTTATCTGATGCTCGCTTCTCCTTCTCCTCTCCCACCTCGCCCCGCCGCCCCTGCCTTTCTGCATTGCCTTCAAACTCAAGTTATTGTTCAAGCTCCCAGTCCATCTTCGTGAATCACTGTGGCCAACGCTTTTTCGTTCACATCCTCTCTCTTGCCACCGCTTGTGCATGGCCTCGTGACTCAGGAAACCCCTTAGGCCCGCGGTCAGCCGCCATGGACCGCCTTGCTCCTGCACGCGTACATTGTTGTCTCATTCGCCTCTTCTGCCCTTTCGACCTAACTTCGATGTTGCATATTGAGGCGACTATCCCGCTCATGCCCCCTCCTGACCCCTGCCTTTCTTCGCCCCTGCCTTTCTTTGCATTGCCTTTCTCACCTTGTTCACATCCTCTCCTCCCATCTCCTACCTCCCACCTTCCATGCTTATAGGTAGCCGTCCTCGTCCCCACAAGTTGAAAACCTCCGCCCCATCACCCTCACGAACTCGTACTACAAAAATCTCACTATTTGTCTTGCCCACTGCCTCCAAACCGATCCCCCCCATCCCAAACCGCCTTTAACAAGCATTGCAAATTATACAAAACTATCAATGACACCTTCAACATTATAGATTGGGCCGCCGTCACTACATCCCCTCTGTTTGCCGTCACGGTCGACTTTTGCAATTAGACCAGCCATTCCGCCTCCGCGCTCTCCCCTGGCTTAGTGTTCCGTACGATTCATTCGCTCAATTCGTGTCATGCAATCCAACACGCCAAATCGTGTATTTCTCAACAATCTAATTGGCTCCCCATTCTTGGACCGTATGGGTCTCAGTCAATGCTGCCCTCTTGCTCCCCCCTTCTTCGTTTGCGTCATTAAAATTTTCCATCGCTACATTTCCCTGTTCCTGACTGGCTACCCCCTCTCCGTAACACCACCTGATGGCCTGCAATGCAGAGGACGTCACCCTCTTTCTCACCTTTGACCAGGAATTGGGATGTGCTGTGATTGCCTCATTGCCTCGGCTTCCTGCGAACACCCCGTCCTCTTGTTCAGCCCGCCCGTTATAGTTTTCACTCAGGTCAGGACTATCCCCATCCTGGCCCCGCGTGAAGATGAATGCATCCATGGATTTACAACCTGGAACACCACCCTCATGCGCATCCTGTGTACGGTCAGATACCCCGTAGACTTGCACGCGACGACCATCTGCTGGAAGGTGCTCTCTTTTCCTGGCCGGTTCAATTGGTCCCTCTTGATACTATCACTCTCCTAAACATGGCCGGTGACAAATTCCTCCCCTCCTCATACTACTGATAGTCAAGCCTCGCGGCCGTAGACTTGCACGCGACGACCATCTGCTGGAAGGTGCTCTCTTTTCCTGGCCGGTTCAATTGGTCCCTCTTGATACTGTCACTCTCCTAAACATGGCCGGTGACAAATTCCTCCCCTCCTCATACTACTGATAGTCAAGCCTCGCGGTTCATCTCATCTTTAATCGCCTCCTATACAACTCGGTCCAGCATGGTAGCTTCAGTGCTATCTCCCCATCAGCCCATATGCTGGCCTTCACAATCCAACGCGATATTCAATGATTTGGAGCCACCCCCATCAAAACAGTCGCACGCTGTTGAGAAGAAACGAGGAAATGAGAATGACTAAGGGAAAGTTGGGTACAAATGCAAACCCTAGAAATCTGTACCCCATATGTGCTACCCCACTATAGCCTACAGTAGCTCTGTCATATAAATCTGACACACCCCCATAGGCAAAGTGGGGGAGAACAAGGGGTCACAAGACCAGTCAAGCAAAGCAAAGCAAGCTCAGGGTGGATCACAAAGTCACCACACATTCCGAGCACAAGTTCAAGGCCACAAGGCCAGTTCACATGCAGGATTACATATATATATAAGGCTAGACAAGCAAGAGCAGGTGTATATATACATGCAACAGTACAAACAAGGTCAAGGGGTGAGCAAGTGAGGCAAGGTAGGCACAAGGCCCAGCTGAGTACAGAAACGCTGATGATCACAAGGCGCAAGTGCCTTGGTGAAGATATCAGCAGTGTTGGCCTGAGAGGCCACGTACGCAAGCCGCAGCTGACCACGCTGCTGTAGCTCACGAGCAAGGAAGTAGCGGACAGCAATGTGCTTCGTTCTGTGCTCCAGTCTCTGCTCTCGACACAAGGCCAGCATGGCCTTGTTGTCTACGTACAGCACTGGAGGAGAACGAGGCGGCTCTCCGAGGTCAGTCAGCAGGTAGGTGAGCCAGCGAAGCTCCTGTGCAGCCATGGCCCCGGCGTAGATCTCAGCCTCACAACTGGAGCCGAGAACAGAAGACGAGCGGGTAGCCCGCCATGAAACAGAGCCGGAACCAAGGCTGAAGGTGTAACCCTGTGACGACCGCTGCGTAGCCTGGTCGTCAGCCCAAGAAGCGTCTGCGTGCCCAGTGAGGACCACTGGACTCTGCCCTCCAAGCACAAGCCCCATGCCCGACGTACTGCACAAGTAGCGCAACACCCTCTTTGCTGCAGCCATGTGCTCCGGTCTGTGTCTCCCAGGAGCAACATAGCGTGCGAGAATGCTAAGAGGGTATGCAAGGTCAGGTCGTGTGCAGGTCATCAGGTACATGAGGCAGCCAACAAGCTCTGGGTACGGGCCACTCGACTCTACGGACTCATCCGAAGGCAGAGCTGAGAGCGAGTGGCGAGTAGGCAGAGGAGTGGCCTGAGGCGAGGAGTACGTGAAGCCGAAGCGCTGAAGGACCTGCTGCACCATGTGTGACTGAGTCAGGGTAATGGTGCGGCGTGCTCTGTCCCGGGTGATCTGCAAGCCAAGGTAGCTGCGCAGTTCACCCAGGTCTGTGCACGTGTGTCTCTTCTACAGCTCGGACTTCACGTGGGCGAGTCCAGCAGTGTCAGCTGTGGCAAAGACCAAGTCGTCGACGTACACGAGGATGTAGAACGGCGGCAAAGAAGTGTCGGTGCGCAGAAACAGTGACGGGTCGGCAGTAGAGGGAGCAAACCCAAGAGCCGCAAGTGTAGTCCTCAGTGTGTCGTGCCACTCACGCGGTGCCTGGCGGAGACCGTAGACTGGCCGCCGGAGGCTCCACTGGGTGCCAGGAGGAAAAGACCCAGTGAAGCCAGGTGGGCGACGCAGCCAGATCTCCTCGTGCAGGCTGCCCTGCAAGAAAGCAGTGCTGAAGTCAAGAGAGTGCAGCTCGTAGTCGCGGTGAGCAGCTATGTGCAGCAGTACCCGAAGAGTGGTCATCTTCGGGGTGGGAGAGAAGGTCTGAAAGTAGTCAACTCCCTGCCGCTGACTGAAGCCACGAGCCACGTAACGCGCCTTGAAGACAGGCGGAGAACCCGGCGGCCGCTTCACCCTGAAAATCCACATGCCACTGACGATGTTCGCCCCAGGCGGGGGAACCTCGTCAACGTAGGTGCCTGTGGACTTCCAGGAAGCCATCTCTGTGTCCATAGCTGCCTGCCACTGAGAGGAGTAGGGACCCTCTATCGCCTCCGCGTAAGAGCGCGGAGTCGGGATGTCAAGTGCATCCGGGTCTCCCTCAGGGGTAAGCAGTACGGACACGAGATGAGGTG